TGTTACATGATTTGCTAGAAATTTTTTCTTCTATTTTTCGCCTGTGCAGTTTTATTGATACTTTTTCTTTTGTTAACCTTGCCTGATCTTCTCCAGCCTACTTTATGTTGAACCAGATAATATGACTATTTTGCTGGGCAAAAACCAGTTGGTTATCAGTAATTTATTATAGTTCAGCCTACTGGTTCTAACGCTTAATCAGTTTATACGTCTACTTCTCCTCCAGGGCAGGAGTTGGGCACATTTTTGTGTATAATCCCTTCTTTGACCTGGAACTGACTGGCCGCTTGAAAGGCACTTAGTGAAGTCCTGCTAGCCAGGTGTGATAGCACATGCCTAGAATCCTAGCACTTGGGAAGTGGAGACAAGGAGGATAAATGCGAGTTTGAGGCCATCCTCAGCTACATAGTGAGTTCGAGGCCAGCGTGAACTTCATAGCAAGACCTCGTCTCAAAAAAAGAGATGATCTTTACTACCTTCTCTGAAATGCAGTTAATGCTCTCACCTCCCATAGTGACTTGCCTTCATGTTACACACTGGGGAAGTAGGGATGACCACTTTATCTTTAGAAAACTGTACCTTCGCTAAGGGGAAAGGATTGAGCCTCTTGAAGAGGTTTCTTTACATCTGCAGACAGTAGGATAGCCATGCCCAGTGAACTTTTTGGAGGAAGGTAGAAGCTTTAGGCTAGCTGAGTGTGCAGAGACTCTTTTAAAACTTGAGTGTGCCTGAGGGCCTAGGAGTTCAGCCTTGATTCTATGGATCCCACCTTCCTAGACTCATAGAAGGCACCCTCCATGAAAATTCAAAAGAATTTGGACTTTGTCTGGAGGTTGCCAGCTTTTTATTTTGCCAAGTAAGGACGTTCAGTTACATACTTTTTATAGGTAATGCATTCTTATGGTACAATATTCATTCTTTAAAATCAGATTTTATTGGTACATTTTAGATATACATAATAGATACGCAAAGCTTTTGTAAATGGAGAGGGGAGGAGGGTTGGAGGGAGGGTTGGGGAATGAGAAAAGCAGTATCATGTACAGGTGCAAATACTCTATGATCAATATGATCACTAGCTACCCTATTCAAAATACACAGAAAGATATATATTGAATAAAATAGGTCTCATATTTCCTCTCCATTCCTTACCAGTCCAATTCCTCTTTCAAAAGGCAAACTGGGTTGCTTGATTATCCTTTCACGGATAGCCCATCCATTTAAAAACAGGTCTGAATGTATTAGCTCTCTCCCTTCTTTCAAATAAATGGTAGTGCATTCAAATACTTTTTTTTAAAAAAAATTTTTAAAGACAGAGTCTTGCCATGTAGTTCAGGCTGGCTTTCAACTCACTGCCCTCGAACTCGAAGAGATCCTTCTGCCTCAGCCTCCCGAGTGCTGGGATTACAGGTGTGTGCCAGCACACCCAGCTCAAATAAATGCCATTTTATGTTTTGACAGTTTTCTCCTCTTTTCTCTTTTTTTTTTGGGGGGGGGTTACTGGGAATTGAACTCACAACCTCGCAGTTGCCAGGCAGGTGCTGTGCTGCTGAACTATATCCCTGGTTCTTCTCCTCTTTCTTAGACATCTTTTTTTCTTTTTTTTTTGAGCCACAGTCTCACTACAGTTCAGGCTAGCCTTAATTCACTGGGTAGCCCAGGCTTGCCTCGAATTCGCAGTCATCCTCCTGCGTCAGTGTTGGGATTACAGGCTTGCGCCACCTTAGAGATCTTTTAAAATCGGGAGAGCTGCCTTAACTCTTCTGAGTGATGGCATAGTATTAGTAAGGGGATTATAAAGATACCAGTGTTTTAATTTGAAAGGTAAACACTAAAAAGAATGTGATTTCAGTGTAAAGAAAAGTTCTGTAAATGAAATACATTAAGTTCTGTGAAAATTAATTCACTCCGTTAATCCAGAAGCCCTATGTTGCTGGAGATAGTAAACAATTAAAGAGGTTTGAGTATGGGTGTGTTAGGACAATTTGCTGTTTTACACAGGTTGCCAGCATCTAGTAGACTGAATGAATGAGAGAGAAAGTTTTTAGTTGAGATATCCATGTCTGTCTCCCCATTTTCAGAGAGGAATAGATTAGGAAATTCTTTCTTGTTTCCTACAGCTGTACCATTCACTTCATTAGATCACATAGTGAGCCAGTCTCCTGTCAAGACATCTCGTGTTTATAACAGCTGTCAGTTGGATTGGAATAGAAGACTAGTTTCAGTGCTGTTTGTTCTGTTAGTACTTTAAATTCTTCTTTTAATAATGAGTGGTTCGTGAATATATAGTACCATTAGGAATTTTTATTTTTAATTTTACCATTAGGAATTTTGAAAAGCGTACTGGGTCAGATTTCTGTAAGGACCCACATGAAGTGGTGATGGCTTGAACTTGGGAAGAGATTGGAGTGGGGAACTGGAGTCTGAGAACTTCGGAATTGAAAATTGATAGGACATGTGACCTCTGGGAAGAACAGGGAGATCAAAATTCATTTGCTGAACATTTTCTTTTTTTTTGGTAGCGGGAATTGAACTCAAGACCTTGTGCTTGCCAGGTAGGCACTTCTGCCACTGAGCTATATCGCTGGCCCCCACTGAACATTTATTGAATGCTCAGTATGTGCAGGGACTATAACAGGTTGATGCCAAGCAAAATGCCTTAGAAGACACTAGTGTAAGAATGAAGAAGACACAGCATATAGACTCTAGAAAGTAGGCCTGTTCATTTAGAAAGCCTGTGCTTGTTAGGACAGTACTAGCCTAGGAGCTGGTTACAAGACAAGGATACAAGTGTTGCAAATCCAAGTTGTAGGGGGAGAAATATGTAGACTCTAGACTTTCTCAGGATAGAATAGCAATGTGATTAATACATGTGTGTCTAAGAGGACTACTGTGCTTGCTTGCTTGCTTGCTTGCTTGCTTCCTTCTTCCTTCCTTTCTTTTTTGGTACTGGGAATCGAACTCAGACCCTCACGCTTGCCAGGCAGGCTCTGTGCTGCTGAGCTATAGTCCCGGCCCTTTTATTTTTAACTAATCCTTTATTTTTGAAATGAGCAAAACATTTGCATGGTTGAAAAATAATTATTAAAAAGTATCCTGTAGAATATTTCCTTTCTATTTTATTCTTCCCCCTACACAAGTCCCCTTTTTTTGTTTTTCTCCAATCAGATTTTATTGGTACATTTTAGATATACATAATGATCTTGTTCATCATAAAGAATTTGTACCTGTACATGATATAACTTCTTTTTTTCCCCCCATTCCTCTACCCTCCTTTCAATCTTTCTGCCCCTCCCCAGTTACAAAAGCTTTGTTTCCATTTTTTTCCTTCTTTTTGTGTTTTGAGACAGGATTTTGCTATGTGGTTCATTCTATCCTTGAGTTCACCATGTAATCCAGGCTGGCCTTGAACTTGCAGTGATCTTCCTGCTTCAGTCTCCCAAGTGCTGGGATCTCAGGCATGTACCCACTATGCCTGGCCACGATTCCCTCTATGTCAACAGAATTTAAGTGCTGGAAATAGAAACCATTTTGGTTGTTTCAACCACAGAAGAATTTAAATCAGAACATTGGGTACTCACAAAATTACTGGGAGGGTTGGAGGAGTGGGACTCAAAGGGGGTTATCCTTAAGATTTTCAGTTTGGGAGGCCTACAACTGGAGTTGTGATCTGGAGTCCAATAAGACACTACTGCCACTGCCACTGCCACTCCCGCCCCTGCTGCTTGATGCTCATGAAGCTGGTGATCAGACTTGAGACCTGTGCTACTGCAGGCCACACCAGGAGCAGCATCATTTGGGGGGCATGTCAGGGGTGTTAGGTCCTAGCTCAGCCTCCTGAATCAGAAGCCACATTTTAAGAAGGCCCCCAAAAGCTTGAGAGGCCCTGCACTAGTTCATCAGGCCTGGCCTTAACCTGTGGGTCTCTGTGATCTTGGTTGTCAGTTACTGTAAGAGAGTCAAAGAAATGTTGCTGACTTTCCTATCTCGGGCTAGAAGGAGGGTGGAACGGAGGTTCAAAGAACCTGTCTATTTGAACTGACCACACTTTCCAAAGTAACTGTTGCTGTTCTTTTCTTACGCATCCTTGTCCAGCATGCATGAGGCCCTGGGGTCAATCCTTAGCACTACAAAACAAAACAAAGTAATAGGTCACAATACACAATGTTCAGCATCATTTAAAATAATAGTTGATTATGGGAGAGCTTTCGACATGCTGTGCAGAATCATCTTTTTCATTTTTGTCTTTTTGAGACAGGGTTTCACTATGCAATTCAAGCTGGCCTTGAGCTCACTTTGTAGTGCAGGTTGGCCTTGAACTTGCAGTGGTCCTTCTGCCTCAGACTTTCTAGTGCTGGGATTACAGGCATGCACCACCATGCCCTGCTAGAATCATCTTTTTTAACAACTGGATACTATTCTATTATACATATTATAAAATGCTTAAAATTAACACTGTCTGGTACAGTCTGGCATGCATGGTTATTCAAACTTACTGGCACATGTTAAATATAATCTGGCTGTTAAATGTTTTCTTTCTGCTTTGTACATGCTGAAGCATTTTGTGTATGTCATCTCTTTTAACTGGCACTGTAACCTACTTTACATGGGCTCTGAAAGCTTAATTTAATGTTTATTATTATTATTATTTTTGTAATTAATTATTTTGAGAAGGGTCTCACTGTGTATTGTAGGCTGGCCTGAACTCACTCTATAGCCTTGGCTGGCCTTGAACTTGTGACAGACCTTCTGATTCAGCCTCCTAAGAGCTGAGATGACATGAGTGTGGTACCACATCTGGTTTAATTTAATATTTTAAACTAAGGTATATCCAGGCTGAGATTTGAAGTCAAGTCTGTTATCCTCCATAATTTGTTATTTGACCCAGTTGCATAGCATCGGCCTGTAATACTTTGGTAGCATGCTGTAGTAGAAAGGTTTGGAAGGGGACTCTGGATATTTTTGGTTTGGTATTAAAGGAATTTCAATTTTTTCTGACTCAGGTATCCAGCGCACATAGAAGACATTGACTACGAAGAAGGAAAAGTGCTTATCCATTTCAAGCGTTGGAACCATCGTTATGATGAGTGGTTTTGCTGGGACAGTCCTTATTTACGCCCTTTAGAGAAAATACAGCTGAGGAAAGAGGGTTTACATGAAGAGGATGGATCTTCTGTAAGTAACAGATCCTAGGTGGTTCTTTAATAAGTGGGGTCAGTCTTAGGGAGTTTTGTTCTAGCCTTTGATTTTTTTGTGGGAAAGTCAGTGGCAGCTGGGGACTAGTCCTTATTTTGGTCATTAGTTGTAACCCTAGATTTTTCTGGTACCTAGGGCTCTGAAGAATCCCAGTTTGGGAGCCAGGTGCGGTGGCGCACGCCTATAATCCCAGCACTGGGGAGGCTGAGGCAAAATTGCCTGAGTTTGAGGCCATCTTGGGCTACATAGTGAGTTCAAGGTCAGCCTAAACTGCATAGTGAGACCCTGTCTCAAAAAATCAAACAAACAAAAAACCCAAATAAAAAAACAATCCCAGTCTTTATCTGTGTGATGTGCTTAATATTACAATTTATAAACTAACTTCATGGGGGCTGCATTGATGATGAACCAGAGGTGTTATCATTCATTCATTCATCCTTTTTTTTTTCTGTCTTTGTGAGACAGGGTTTTGCAGTGCACTTCAGGCTGGCCTTGAGCTCACTTTGTAGATGAGGCTGACCTCAAACTCACAGCGATCCTCCTGCTTCAGCTTCCTGAGTGCTGGGATATTCATTTATTTTTGAGATAGGGTCTTGCTATGAAGTTCAGACTGTTCTTGAACTCATGGCAATCTTCCTGTCTCAGCTTCCTGAGTGCTGGGATTATAGGAATGTGCCACCATGCTTGGCACTTTATTTCTTTTTATACTCCTGCTTTTCTAGCTGCTAGAACACTGCCTTGCACATCATAGATCTTCAGTATGTGTTTGTTTCATAAAGGAATAAATGATTGAGTTCTAGATCCACTGTATCTAGAGCATTGTTTACTAGATATCCTAGACAGATAGATTATTTATGAAGTTTATCTCCTGTCTAATCATTTCATGTGTGGATCCTGTGTTGCTTCATATGCAGGATGCATGATTGGACTACCTTCCGTTTCTTTTTCTAAATATCATTACTATGCAGGGAGCTGTTAGAGTGGTACCTCAGTTCATAAACTTCTTTTCTGCGTTTCTGGTTACAAGCTGAATTGAATGAGAACCTAGTCACATTTTCCCAAAAGGTCAACAATGAACCTAAAACCATTGAATTTTTTTTTTTTTTTTTAAACCATTGAATTTGATTCATTTCTCATCCAATTTGGTTTGTGATCAGAATCATGAGAAGAATTAAGTTCATGAACCATGGCACCACTGTATTGGTTTCAAAATGACATGTGAAGTTTTAGTATATGTGCTGCTGAAGTGAGCCCTGACATGCGGAGTTCTAGTTTAAAAATTTTTAAAACAGCCAAGTGTGGTGGCACATGCCTGAATCCCAGCAATGGGGAGGGTAAGGCAGGTGGATCACTTGAGTTTGAGGCCAGCTGGGCTACAAAGTAAATTCAAGTCAGCCTGAACTAGATAGCGAGACTCTGTCTCAAAAAAAAAAATTATTATATATAAAACAAATATTGAGATATCTGTAGTAATTGTGCTGCTTTTGGATCTGACTCAGCCGAGTTCTGTTTTCCATTTTAATCTTCACTAAGGAACTTGAACTCTGGCTGGCCTTTTGTTTCACTTTGTTTTTTCTCCCTGCACTTTAAGATTGTTCAGTAATGTTCCATTTGATTATTCAGTAATTATTCTACAGAATTTACCAATGCAAATGGTGTTTTGGGAAAACAAAATAAGTTACTAAAGGTGAATGGATGCTTCCCCAGGTAAAAGACCTCTTAGAAGTGTGGAGTGACATTAAACAGCATGAGTACTGCTTTGCTAAAGTTGAAGTAGGCACACTCCTTCCAGCTGTAAAGCTGGGTGTGTTGCCCAATGGTCTGGGACTCTTAGCCTTGCTTTTAGGGCACATCCTGGATATGGGAGGATTTCTCCTCATTCTTTTATGCCTGCCCAGGCCTCTGTTCGTGGGGAGGTATTGTTTTCCAACTTGCTTGTTTTTTTTTTTTTTTTTTTTTTTTTTTTTTTTTTTT